GGTTTTGCTCTGATATGGTTCAAAGTACCAGATATTTATTTAACCCAAGAGTGCAACTTCATCAGCATTTTCAGTTTGTCATTACATTTTTCTTACTTGTTTACAAGCATTTAATCGTACTTCTTCATACTCTTTTTATGACTAACAACATATCTCTTAGGAAAGCAACACAGAAACAGAGCTCTAATATGTTTTAAATAGAAAGACTGTTCAGAATTTAGCAGTTGTGAAGGCTTGAATAATTTCATGATTTGGTTTCAGTTTGTAGATAAAATATAAAATCTAATTAAAGCATTTAAGACTATAACTATCTTCAGATAATCAAGATAACCAGATCAATAACTCTGAGGTCTGCTTTATTAGCCTTGCAGTGAGGATCCCCATGTGTAAAGCAACAAACAATACTGACACTTCAGTTCATGAGTACAGACTCACCATAAATTAATAGATATAGTGTTTAAGTGCTTTTTTTAACCCTTAACATTTGAATTCTGTCATTGGCTGATTTTATTTCATTGTTCATTCACTCTTTTTCTGTAAAAACTCAACGTTGATCTCTTGAGATATTTGAAAATAGGATATCTTTATATTCATTTACTCGCCTGATCCTAGAATCCTAGAATCATAGAATCATAGAATCATAGAATCACAAGGTTGGAAATGACCTGTAGGATCATCTAGTCCAGCTGTCTTCTTTTTACCATTGCTGCCACAGACTAAACCATATTTTGTAGCTCCTCATCCAGGTGCTTCTTGAACACTGCCAGGGACGGGGGCTCCACCACCTCCCTTGGCAGGCCATTCCAGTTCTTGGCCACTCTCTGAGAGAAAGAGTTTTTCCTCATGTCCAACCTAAACCTCATCTGGTACAACTTGCGGCCATTTTTCCCTGGCTGTTCGTTGCCTGGGAGAAGAGGACAAACCCCTCCTCATAACAACCTCCCTTTAGGAAGTTGTAGAGTGCAACGAGGTCTCCTCTGAGCTACCTCTTCTCCAGACTAAACAATTCCAGCTCCTTCAGCCGCTCCTCATAGGACTTGTGCTCCAGACCCCTCACCAGGTTTCATTGCCCTTCTCTGGACATGCTACAGGGCCTCAATCTCTTTCTTTTAGTGAGGGGCCCAAAACTGAACGCAATACTCGAGGTACAAGTGCTGAAACCAAGTGGAAAATTCCATTTTAACCTAGTTGTGTATAAATTTTCTTTAAAAACACCTGTAATTATTAATCTTGATTATCCTTCTTGCATTTGTGATGAATATAATTTGAAAACTAGTTTTACTTCGTAGAATCAAATGATCATTTGAGTTGGAAGGGACCCTTAAAGGTCATGTAGTCCAACTTCCCTACAATGAACAGAGACATCCACAGTTACATCAGGCTGCTCAGAGCCTGAGCTGAATGTCTGCAGGGTTGGAGCATTCAACACATCTCAGGGCAGCCTCTTCCAGTGCCTCACCACTCATCATAAAAAAATCTTTTTCCTTATATCCAGTCTAAATCTCCACTCTCTTAATTTGAAACTATTTCCCCTTGCCTATCACCACAGATCCTGCTAAAGAATTTGTACTCTTCATTCTTGTAGCTCCCCTGTAGACACTGAGCAGCCCCAGCTCTCTCAGGCTGTCCTCATAGTGGAAGTGTTCCACTCCATGGAACAGGGTCTTCCTTCTATTCTAAATAATTATAATATATTTAATTTAGAAGTTATTTATTTCAATGTGATTTATTGACAAACATAATATAAGTTGGTGAGTATTAACAATTTTAGAAATTTTGGAATTATTTACATTGAGTACCAGTAGTATTGGCTGCTAATATTTATAAAGATCATTCTTTACTGCACAGTTTGCAATACTTCTTATGCTTAATTTTCATGCTGAGTTGTGCAGTATCAGCTCTAGAGGACAGCTTTCCCATAAGATCATTTAACTGCTTTACAAAGTGTTGCTTCTCTTTTTCATTTTTTCCTCAGGCTTTTATCTATAACATATGCTTCAAAGTATGATAGCAGTCATCATAATTAAATTCTAATTTATGCAGAAAAGATTTCTTACCAGCTTTCTCAGTTTCTTTGGTAATAATACCCAATTGGTGTAGATTTCTTCTGTTGGCTTCATTTTACTTTTTTATCTGTTTTGTGCAAAAAATGTTTTATTATCTTGATAAGGGAAGAAAATATGGCATTCTGCCTAGAAGTTGTATTTTCTAAGCCATTATTTCCAATTTCCACAATAAGAACTGTTGTGCAAAAAAAATTAAAGTTTTCAAGAGTGAGGTTCTTGACTTTGAACTCCAACTTTAACCTTTTATGGCAGTAAATCATAATTTTCAGCTATATATTCTGTTTTGAAGGTGATACTTTTTATTGTGTTTTTCACAGAAGACAATTTCAATCACTTCTAATCATAGTCAGCCAGTCTTCCTGTGTCCATCCATGCATCCTGCCTGAAGAATGTCATTTGTTGCCTCTCTTGTGCCCCTGAAGCTATAAAGTCTCTCCTGTTCTAAAACATTTTGTCAGATTTTTCCTTTACTAGCACAGAAAGTCAAATCAAGTTAAAAATTCTGTTTAAATATATTTTGAATATAAAAATCAAGGAAACCTATCAAATTTATGGGGACATAAAGGCAAAATTTTATGCCGGACTACAGTTGCAGTAACTCTTAATCTGAATAATTTCAGGATTATATTGTATTTTAATTAGTGCTACAGTTAGTCAGTGGATTTGTTCCCTGTAAGTAAATAGTGGAATTAAAAATTAAACTTATTCAGAGCAGATAAATGTGTAGGTAGCTCTGAATATAATACCTCCTTTTAATTTCCATGGAAAGTATAGGATTGTACTATTTGATAAAGAAAATTCACAGCTAGAGAACATTGTTTTTCAACATAGTTGATTTGCTATGGATTTTTACCAACAGTGAACAAAAGCTTGCATGCTACTCTTTTAAAAGTCATCATAGCCTTCCAGATCATGGTTTGTCTTTCACACTGCTATTGTTACTGTTGAATCTCACCACTCACTGCCTGATTGTGATAATATCCACCGTTTAATCTCCACAAATAGTCAGCAAGCACTGAGAAATGTGAATGTGTACCGTTTTTTCCACCTGGAAGAATTCGGTTCCACACCTTTGCTTCATACACATTTCCCTGTCAGAAGCCATTCTGTCAGGCTGTCCCCATGCTGCCATCTGTCACATGACTACAAAATGTAACGGAATACTGGTGGACAGGGTTCAACCTCTGCTGCCATACCTCTAATATCCCTTTCTGAGGTGTGGGTCAAGATAATAGAATACGAGGCATTACTTTTGGAGCAGCCATAGTATCTAGAAGAAGTATTTTAAAGCAGTTTATCTACTGCCCACTCCTTTCTTTTATTATTTTGGAAGAAATTTTCAGATATGTGCCACTGGTTATCAGGTAAAACTGGAGTGCACAGCCTAGATCATTCCTAAATTGTAATCACCAGCAGAAGATAACAAATTAGAATAATTACTGAAGTTCAGCTTCTGACAGAAAGCTTGAGAAACATCCCATTGAACTTATTCAGCAACTTGTGATTTATGTCAAAAGAAACTCAGTTTCTACGGGAAGTGAAATACTGTTTGTGAAGTGAAAATAGTCACAGCTTTAGAGTAAGTTTGTGAGGTTGTATCACCTTGACCGCCTTATGAAACTGTTGGTGCTCCATATCCTGGGGCTGTAGACTTGGATGTGGTAGATTGGCTGTGCAAACATAGGGCATTAATCTTTAAACAGAGAGGAAGTAACTTCTGTTAATTATATTAACATACCTTTTGTAACCTGTTGTTACAATGCACAATTCTGTATTTCAGCTAATTCTTCTTGGGAACACTTTAATGTTCAACACAGCAGTAATGTGGGAAACACTGCTTAGGGATCTCACCAGCCCTGTGATTTCACATAAATATTTTGTCTTCCTCAAGTCAGCAGCAGCAGCAGTGACATCACGGTTCTGGTTCTAGGCAGCATGTATGTAAACTGAGCCAACAGCTGGACCATTCACCACTGAATCCAGTGGGTATGGGACTGTTATCAATATGGCTATATTTACCTCTTATTGCAAGCACTTCTGTTTTTAGTTCAGAGCAGCAACAAGATCTCTTCTACAGCTTGCATCTAGGCAGGCAGCATTTTATGACCTGTCTCTAAGTACAGCCATGGCAATCATGATCTCCTGAAATAGCCAACAACCAAAAACTGGCTCAACATCATGTGGGACTGTAAGTAGACAAAATTAGCAAGTGCCTACCTGCCAAACGCTCTGGTAGACATACTTGAAGTCCCTCTGTTTGTCCAACATACCGGAGTTTCAGGTGAATGACAGTGTAGGTCCAATGTGAAAGTATCTCCTGGCTTCTGTCTCCATTTCAAGTATTTAATTTCAGGGCTTGTGGATGTCTATATTTCATGCACACACTGTACAGAAGATTCCAGTTTCTATACTTACTTGTTAATTTTTGTTAAAATAAAGCTATTTTGTCTCCTGTTCATTGGAAAAATGCATATGTCAATAATGTCAATAATCTGGCAGCATTAAATCTTTTTCTATATTTGAAAGAAATGCAATGAGCTCAATGAGAGGGTTGACTGAAGCCTACTCAGGATGCTGGTGAGGAGGCTGCCCTGCCTGGTCAAGGGGGAGGATTCCATGTGAGTAGGTGACAGCAGGCACTGACAAAACAGCTTCTGCATATTGCTGTTTTCACTCCCAGGTTTCTCCCTCTACATATTTTCAGACTTCTTACTTCCTTATCAGATTGGCTCATTTAATTTAAACGAATGGATATTTCCAGAGTGGCGATCATACCCAAGAAGCTGCATCCACTCACTTTCAGGAACCTATGTACTACATGATATACAGCACTTTCAGATTCTGTAGTCCAGCTTTGTAACAGGATTTTTAGCTCTTGCACAATATGACTTCAGAGAAATGCTGCCCAGTATGTTCATTCTTCTTTCTTTGCAGGCATACCAGGCAGTGACTATATCAATGCCAACTACATAGATGGATACAGAAAGCAGAATGCATATATAGCAACACAAGGGGCATTGCCAGAAACCTTTGGAGACTTTTGGAGAATGATGTGGGAGCAACGTGGTGCAACTGTTGTCATGATGACAAAATTGGAGGAGAGGTCCCGGGTAAGGAAAACATATACACATACAGCAAAACGCAAAGTTAATAGTATTGTACTACCTGAGAAACAAGCTGATAGGGCTGGGATTGTATAGCCTGGAAAAGAGAACACTCTGGAGAGATTTTACAGCAGCCTTTCAGTATTTTAAAGGGTACTAAAGGAAATATGGGAAGGGCCACTTCATCAGAGTGCAGTGATAGCACCAAGGGTTAAGGTTTTAAACTAAACAAAATTAGACTTAGATGAGATACAAAAAAGAGATTCTTCACTATGTGGATGGTGAAGTATTGGAACAGGTTGCTGGGAGAGGTTGTGGGTGCCCTGTCCCTAGAGGTGTTCAAGGCCAGCTAGATGGAGTGGTGGGCAAAATGATGTAGTGGGAGGTATCCCAAACAATATCAGGGAGTTTGGGACTGGATGATCTTTAAGATTTCTTCTGACAGAAATCATAAGATTATACAATAAATCACTTCAGGTAAGATTTTTCTGTGTTCCATATGTGTTAGTCTGCCTTCAGCATATACACAAGAGCTGACCTATTTTTCTTTGGGTGCTACTGTTTAGAAGTGTCCAAACAACAAAAATTGCTTGCATAGGAAATGTTAGTTTCACCTGTGAAATTGCAGTGTCACACCATTTATTTGATAGGGTTTTTATCCTCTGAAAATGCTGACATCTTTTGATACATACTGATTTTTTTTGTTTTTCAGTCATTTGTAAGCACTGGGAAGTGACTGAAAGTCTGAAAACATTATTTGTTCTGTAATATCCAGAATATAATTTTATCATATTGTGATAAGGAAATTCATGTATGTCAACAGCACTCAATTTTCAGTTTTGTGTGGTATAGATTACACTTAAGATCACTGAGGATTTGGATTTGATTAAAAATATAAGAATGTTATTTTAGCACATTCTGGGTGCAAAGAAAAGTTAAATAACATATGCAGTAATGGAATTCAAAATTTTCTGTGATACTTTAAATAAAATTGTAAAGGTTATAAAATTAGGAAAGCAAAGGACTAAAACATATCTAGTAATAGAAGTGATGAGTGGGTATTAGTATAACGTAAGAGGAAATTAAAAACAGGTGGTTTTTCTTATATATAATGTATAAAGAAGCAATGATGGAAAGAGTGGCAACAGAATACTGTTTGTGGCATGAAGGTTTATTAGCAAAGTCTGTATTTCATGACACATATTAGTTCTAATGGTAGTCTACTGGTAGATGTATTCTGGGGCAAAGGAGAAGAAAGAAAAAGAAAAGAGAAAATGGTTAGAAAAAGCAGAGAAGGTGATCCCCCCAATATTCTTTTCCCAAAGTAATTATGTATATTATGTCAGGACAAACTACAGTTCCTCTTTGGTTGCTCCTGCATATGATGCTGTTATTGCTGATGGGAACTTGCACTGATTGGAGAAGGTTCTGCACGTTAGGTTTACTACTGAGCCTGAAACACATAAATAGGTCCCGCAGTATAAAGCAGAAGTTGTAGCCAAATGTAGAAATCAGAGAAGGTGAGAAGGAAAGGGTAATTCTAACACCTGTAGTAACTGCTTCCCATGAGAAACTGCTAAAAGAATCAGGATTAGCAATTAATATGAATGCCAAGAGCCGAATAACAAACATGAGTGTTAACACAGAAAAAAATACTACCACAGAGGTCCTGGGTTACATGCTCCTGGCAGCCTCTGTGAAAGGGTGGAGAGCTACAAGTGGGAGGCAGGATAAAGGATTGCAAATGGAAGGCCCTGAGAGATAGAAGATGTGAAGGAAACAAAGGCACTGGGCAACATACGTAGAAAGTTCATAAAGGAGAGAAAGAAATTAGGGAGAAAGAGAAAAGATGTATCACTCAGAAAATTTTTTAAATGAATAAAAGGTGTGTAACTGGAAAATAGCTGGTATTTCAGCAACTCATGGATGAGTTCCATTTCAAAATTATGATGTATTTCTGCATGTATATTTGGAACAGTAGAGAATGTAATGTGTAGTCATTGATGTTTTTTATGTGCTTAGATACATATAGTTGCAGTGACTACATAATCGTTGAATCTCTTGGCAATAGTTATTCATTTATGGAGGCTATGAAGTATATATATATTTACTCTTTTAACATTTCATCTTTTTTTTTTTTTTTTTTTTTTTAATAAAGTAGTTCTTTTGCATGTCAAGCAATGTGTATCATTTTAATTATAGAACCACTTTCTGTTTGTACATGGATGTACCTGTTGGCAATTAGTACAGAGAAGAGAGTAATTTTCAGAAAGTTACAGTTTATCTGGAGACTACAGGCCTTAGTGTAGGTACTAAAAGTTCTTTGGAATTAAGCAAATGAAATTCTGTCCATTTCCTCAGTAATTGCTTCTCATATAATAATGTTGCTGCAAATTGTATCAATGCTGAGAAAAAAAAAATCTGATCCTAATAAGCAGTTAATTTCAGAAGGTGTATTTAAATATTTGAGAGTTTATCTTAATACTGCAGGCTACAGACAGCCATAGCCTAGAAAGATGTTTTGATGTAACTAAATGAAATTGCATTCATTTCTCTCAATAATTGCTTAGCAGACTTTTAAAATAAATCTCCCCTTTGCTGACTGCACTCTAAATACCACTGATCAGAATAACAATCACCTCCACAAGTGATTAGCATTCAGCAGCAATATATTCCTTGAGCATAATGAGAGACCAGACAGTCTAGTCAATGGATTGTCTGTTCATCCAATGTTTGTGTTTGTGTTTTCTTAGTGCATAATTTAGCTAGTTCTGTGTTCAGGTGATATGAATTTTATGTACTCAGTGTATATTGTTAAAGAGCACGTATCTGGTACATTATAAAGCTCCGGACTAACTCCCATGATTTTGCAGCACTGTAAACATGGCACACAGGTTACCTCTTTTCCTAATACAGTAGCTACAAGTAATGCTACAATCAATGACGTTGATACTGAAGGAGCAATGGGAAAATCTCCTTAGGAAAAACATGTGATGAAAAGATTTTGTTGTTATTTTTTCTCAAGTTGTAATTCTAATATAGTGTATTTCTTATAGCAGGATAGAAACGAAATTTCATGCAAGAAATATAAACACAGTTGTATAACTTTAAAGATGAAGATCACTGCTAATTTAATTTCTCTTTTTGTTCTGGTTCAACTTTGATTGCCTTTGTGGCTTGCAAACCTGATCGTTATTCCTGCTTCAAGGCAAAATCATTTCTCTCTGGGACTTCACCTACTTTCCATCTTCAAGTTGTCATTTTGTTTTAGGTTGCTTTTTTTCATAGTACAGTCCTGCAGCTTGATATCAGCATTTTTAACCTGGACAGAGTAGATAAAGATGTGGATTTTAATTGCATCCACTGAAACAAAGTTGGTTCATTAGCATGTGTTAGATGTCTGATTGTCTTCAGGTTTGAGAATGTACTTGTTTTACACCTGAGTTCATTGACTAGAGATATTAAAGTGAATCCATAATTTACTTGTTCAGCTACAAGAAAGCTTTAGGAAAAGAGAAGATTTTTAATTTACAACCTTTCACACTTTGTCAGTTATGTTTCAGATGCTATCACCTGAATCTCACTTACGAAAGCCAGACTACTGAAAGTCAGCTCCACCTTTCAGCTATCATGCACATAATTCATGATGGCTGTTTTGAAAGTAATGCCTCCTATTCTGTTATGCTGGAACACAACTGCAGAGACAGATGTTGATGATATGGCAGTGGAGGTTGAGCCTTCCTGCCAGTATTCCAGTATATGTTGTTGCCATATGAAAGATGACAGCATAAATGCAGTGGCCCTGCGTGTGGCAGGAGGGTTGGAGATTCATGATCCTTGAGGTCACTTCCAACCCTGGCAATTCTGTGATTCTGTGATTCTGTCTAACACAGAAGTGTGTATGAAGCAAATGTGTTTCATTGAATTTTCTCAGGCAGTGAAAGTGGCACTTACTGGTATTTACTGGGACTTAATATTTATGGAAACCAAGGAGTGGATAGAGCACAGTGGGTGTTGAGTGGTGCTTTTCAGGAGTGGGGACAGTGATCATGTATCACCTCCACAAGTGCATATTTTTACAAGCATGACATGCAGGCTCTTGTTCATCACTGGCAAAAATGCATAGCTGATGGTAGTGACTATGGTGAAAAACACTGTTTTGTAGCTGAGAATTTTCTCTATCAGTGGTGGTGTGCTGTTTGTATGTCTTGTAGTTTCTATGGAAATGAATAGGAGGCATTTCTTTTAGAGCAACCTACATACACAAAAAATGATTATATATACTGATAATAAATGAAACACTGTTGATAGAATAATTGTTGCATGCATGGATTTAATCTGAGTGAAAGAAAAAGGAGAATATTAAAGGGTACAAATCAGAGATGAAGAGAAACAGTTCTGCATTACACTAGGGAAGCCTGTAAACCTTGCTAAGTGTTACTTTTCTATCTTTCCCTCCTCCAGAAATATAGATTTTCCTTTTTTTTTTTTTTTTTTCCTTTTCTGTTTTCCCTTTTTGCCTTTATTCTTTTGTAGTTTTTGTTGTTGTTGTTGTTGTTTTTGTTGTTTTTTTTTTTTTTCCAGATTCACTGAATTAAATGAATTTTCTAAGTTGCATGATTTAGAGTGGTTCAATTTTTTCCAAGTTTCACTTATTTATAAAGTACAGTAGATAGATGTTGTGAATATCAGATGAATAATCTCCTCTTCAGCAAATATCTTTTATAGTAAAATGATCTGAACTTCAATACCTATGAGGCAGGCTTTTGTTTTCATAGTGGTACTACCAGGTTCATTCAAATTTGCTAATGATTAACTGAGTACACGAGAATATTTCATTTCTGATATTGTTTGCCTGCTCCAGAGTCATTTGGCTGTCAGGAAGTGAGTATTGTCATCAGTATTATAAGCAAAGAATACATAAATATTTAAGCATAGAATAATCAAAAATCTAAATATGCAAAATGGAAAGTGCAATTGTGCTTTGAAACAGACTTACGATTATA